GCACCCCTATTTCAAGGTGACAAGAGGGATGTAGACAAGAAGGATATATAAATGCAGAACACCTAGAATGTGGATATCCTGAGACAGCCAAGAGGCCGTACCCACTCATCCTCCTGACACATGGACACTTTGTTAAACCATGCCGAACAAGTTGGTAGCATAGGCACGATTAGACTTTTGCTTACACCTCCCAGAGCACACAGTACCTACTTTGGCACCTGCCAGGGTGTGGTTGATAGTCTCCCTGGACTTGGACACTAGCACCTGCAAGACATTGGGGGTGACTAAAGCCCCACTGCGTTCTCCCCTTGAGTCCTGACCCATACCTGTGAGGCCATCTCAGATTGCCCAATCTCAGGTGCCCCTTTTTTTTTTTCATCTTCCTGCCTACAGTACTAGACTGTGAGCTTGGGGAGCTGCAGGTGGTGGGGCCCTCTCACCTGGAGATCTGCTGGGCCAATATCCCATATCCTCCCACAGGCAAAACGGCCAGGCAGCACATGTCAGGAAAAAAAAAAACCAAACAGTACTGTGATGAGAAGTTGGCGTGGTTGGCAGTCATTTTTTTCTTTCCCTTTCTTCTCGGGTGGAAAACTGTGCCGAACCTTTTAGAACCCGTGACATCAGTGATTTCCCAAGTGACTACTTGGAATCTCATTGTCATTGTTATAAACAAGAAAAATCCCCCATTTGCCTGCCTATCATCCACAGCCCCAAATAGTAGTTATTGTTTTTCTTTTTCTTCTTTTTCTTTTCTTTTCTTTTTTTCTTAAGTTTCTCTCTGTGAAACAGTTTAGTTAATTCCTGGAGAATGATAGAATTAAATTACCACTGTTTTTGCAATCCCTAATGAATAATGTCTCTAGGCAGTGATCATCAGTGATTGTTAAAATATAAAAGAAAAGCAGTTCAGACACTAGGGCTGTCTGCCATCCCTGCCCCCGTGGAACTGCACACTATGAGGAAGTATTCTTAATCTCTAGATTAATCTGAGTGAGCCTCTGACCCTGCTATAATAGCCTTCCATCACTATGCACTCAGGTATTCCAGTGAATACCATAAACAAACCATCTTTAAAGGAGGCAGGGTTTATTTGGCTCCTGGTTTTGAGGGTTTCCATCCGCAGTCTTTAGCCCTGTTGCTGCGAGACTGTGGTAGCCCTGCATCATGGCAGGGACTTATGGTACAGAAGGTTTCAACCTCTAGACAGCAGAAATAGAAAAGGACCAGGTCTGACATCCCCTTCACAGGCACACTCCTTGTATTATTTACTTATTTTCTGTTGCTGTGATAAAATGCCATGACTAAAAGCAATTTAAGGAAGAAAGAGTTTATTTTGGCTTTCAGCTCATGGCTCCAGAGGGATAGAATCCATAGCAGCAAGATCAGAAAGCATCTACACACAGGAAGGAGAGGAGAGGGAGGGAGGGAGGGAGAGAGGGAGGGAGACAGAGAAGGGGGGAAGGAGGAAGTAAAAGAAGAGAGGGAGAGGCCAGGCGGTGGTGGTGCACGCCTTTAATCCCAGCACTCGGGAGGTAGAGCCAGGCGGATCTCTGTGAGTTTGAGGCCAGCCTGGGCTACCAAGTGAGTTCCAGGAGAGGCGCAAAGCTACACAGAGAAACCCTGTCTCGAAAAAAAAAAAAAAAAAAAAAAAAAAAAAAAAAAAAAAGAAGAAGAAGAGAGGGAGAGAGAGGGAAGGAGGAGAGAGGGAGGGAGAGGGAGAGAGAGGGAGAGGAAGGGAGGGAGAGGGAGAGATAGAGAGAGAGAGCAGGAAGTGTGGCAAGACTATAAACCATCTAAAGCCTAGCCCCCAGATGAGGTACTTCCTCCAGCAAGGCTCTCCTAAAGGTTCCATAACCTCCTGAAAAGGGGGAGTTATTTGAACCAAGTGTTTAAATACATGAGCTTATGGAAGACATATCTCAGGCAACCCCTACCCTTCCCCACCACGACCTAGCTTTCCTCCATTAAGGCTGTGCCTACTAAAAGTTCTACCATCACCCAGTAGGACTACAGGCTGGGCCTCTAACCCAAACTATAGCATCTACCAATGTACAGGAACTACAAAGGTCAGAGGAGATGCCATGGGATACAACCAGCAAGAGCCAGTTGTGCCGAACTATAGAGCAACTGGCTACTACCTTTAGCAGATACATTATAAGAAGAAAGAGGGGCTATAGCAATGGTTCACTTGATGAAATGCTTAATATCCAAGCATGAGGACCTTAGTTTGACTGCCAGAATCTATATTTTAAAAGCTGGGCACAGTGGGACATGCTTGTAATCCCAATGGAGGGAGGCAGAGACAAGTGGATCTCTAGGACTCACTGACTGGCCAGCCTAGACTAATTGGTATGTCCCAGGTCCTGGTGAGAGACCATGTCTCTAAACACAAGGTAGATAGTTCCTGAAGACCACCACCCAAGGCTGACCTCCAGCCTACACACACACACACACACACACACACACACACACACACACACACACACACAGAGTTGCTAAAAAAAAAAAAAAGGAAGAGATGAGTATTTTCAATAGCTAAAACAAGACAAGTTTGAACTCACTGACTCAAACAAATCAACTATAAAATTGCCCGACTGAATGGAGCAAATATGAATATTGAATGGGCATGCTTTATACCAAAATACTCAGCTTTTGCACTCTCAGCTTTTAGGTGCAATCGTGGTGTGATAACTATGTTTTCTTAAGTGCTTATATTTTAGGGCTATTACTTGAAATTCTTGCAAATGAAGCGATGGATGTATCTGTGGCTGGATCCAAGTAGTCTCCTGCAAAGTGACAGAGCATGGTGGTACACAACCAGAATCCCAGCATTCCAGAGGCTGAGACAGGAGGGTCAAGAGTTTAAGGCCAGTCTGCACTGTGTAATGAGTCCCAGGCCAGCTGCTACATAGGGAGACCCCGGAGAAACAGAGAGAAACACAGGCAGAACATAACCATGCTAATAAGAATCATTATTTGTACTAGGCTTTCTTTTGGTCCCAAATCATGACACAGAGACTTCTTATTAGTTATGAATGATTGGCTTTAGCTTATGCTCGTTTGGAGCTAACTTTTTTTCTTTAACTTAAACCAACCTGTTTCTCTTCATCTACATTTTGCCTCAGGGCTTTTTACCTTTTCTTTCTGTATGTCCTAATCCGCGTCGGTTGGCTAGAAGCTGCCTGGCTGGCTGGCCCCAGGTGTCCCCTTCTCTTTCTTCCCCTTCTCTCCTCTTTTCTTCCCCCTATTCTCTCCTGAACCTAGATTTCTCCTCCTATGTACTCTCTCTGCCTGCCAGCCCCACCTATCCCTCTCCTGCCTAGTTATTGGCTGCTCAGCTTTTTATTAGACCAATCAGGTGCCTTAGGCAGGCAAGGTGAAACAGCAACACATCTTTACATAATTAAACAAATGCAGCATAAACAAATGTAACACATCTTTACAAAGTTAAATATTCCACAACAATTATTGATGCTATTGGTATATTCATAATATATTTATATTATGAATAGTAATTGCTGAGATCTTTCTGTGCTTTCTCCATGCCAGACTCTATTCTAAATATTTACATACAGTACCTCAATTTGTCTACTTAGGAACCCCACTGGATGCTGGCATCACCTTTTGCATTTGAGAGAACCAAGTCACAGAGAGGCTGAGTAACCATTCCAAAGCCACGCAGCAAATACATCACAGAGCCAGGATGTCACTGATATTGCTGAAACCCAAGCTCACACCTTCACCCACTGCTCCATCTTGCCTTGCTGGCTCAGGCAAGATGGAGGCTCCACTCACAGCAGCTGAGACTGCTTGCTGGTAACTGGACAGCTTACAGATGCCTGTCCCCTTTGACCCAGCACTCCCACCCCTGGCACACTGCAGCCCATGCACAGTAGCAGCCATGCATAAGAAAGCCCAAAGCAGGGCTGTGGGTAACAGTAAAGACTAGGAAATGATCCAATGCCTCTCAACAGGAACATGGATAAATAAACCACAGAGTGTTCGTACAATGGAATGGTGCCACACAGGGGTAATGAACAGCGCTTGTCTTTGTGTATTGACCAGGAACTTTTTCACAAACATATGGTTGAATAAAAAAAGCAAGCACGTGTCTTTTAGAGCAACCGGATGCCAGTTATATAAAGCTACAAAATCCCAGAACTTAATGTATCGCCTAGGAGTACATACACGTGTCACACACATGGCATGACAGGTACAGGGATATTAAACATCAAATTTACCATGATGTTCACTCCAGGAGAGAAACACATGGAAAGGAACCAGAGAAAGATGCAGGTGAGTCTTGCACTAATCTGTAAGATTCCTATCTTGAAAAGGAATGATGTAGTGGGTTGTGGGGGCCCACATCTGCCATCCCACCACTTGGGAGGTAGAGGCGGAAGAATCACATGTTTGAGATCAGCCTGGGCTACCTGGTGAGCCCCACTCTGTTCCCTAAAGCATGCCCTGAAATGGGGGAGAAACAGGAATCTAATTCGTTGTTGGTGGGAGCCCATACTGGTTCTTCCTAGGAAGACTGCTTTGCATCGTCTATCAAACTTACAAATGGACATGCCATTTGACCCCAACTGCTAGAAACTTTGCTTTCAAATATATGGATATGTCTACAAAGTTAAGTACAAAGATCATACACTAAAGTATTGCTTTCGATAACGAAGGCTTGGAAACAACCTAGACACCACTCTATCCATTAAATTTTCTTTTGCTGTGTTAAAATATCTGAGAGAAAAGGCTGGAAAGACAGCTTAGCAAGTAAGAGAACTGAATGTTCTTACAGGGCACCCAAGTTTAGTCCCAGCACCCACACGGGGCAGTTCACAGCTGCCTGTAACTCCAGCTCCAGGGAATCTAACACCCTCTTCTGGAATCCTCAGGTATCCTCACACACTTGGCATACACCATACACACACACACACACACACACACACACAAAGAGAGGGGCCACACGTACATGCAAGAATAAACAATAAAAACAATTCTTAAAAGAACTTTTTTTGTGTGTCTGACAAAAGACGCTTTGGGTTCACAGGCCATGGAGGTGGGAGGGCAGGACAGTAAAAGCTTGAGGCAGATGGTCACATTGTATCCACAGTCAGGAAGCTATGAGCTAAACGCTGCTGCTCCTCCGCTCATTTTCTTCTTACTCACTCCAGGGCTCCAGTCCCTGGGATGGAAACTCCTGCACAGACTTGCTCGCAGGTGTGTTTCCTAGGTGATTCCAAATCCAATCACGGTGACAGTGAAGACAAACCAGCTCAGCTGCTCCGTTCTATAAAGAAAATGCATGAAGATGGGGTGTCATGATGCAGATTTGAAATCCGAGAGGTGAGCCTCTAAAGGAGGAGTATCTCAAGTTCCAAGGCAGCCTGAGCTAAGAGAGATACCACAGGGGGATGAGGGGGGACTGATAAAGAAGGATTTCTAAGGTGCTGAATGTGGCATACTAGTTGCTACCATATACAGAAAGTGGCAGTATGCAGGAGAAAATGGGTGTTCATGTTTGTATATGCATAAAATATTTGATAAAACCAGGGTTCTGGCTGCCTGTGAGATGGGTAACTTGGGAACAGATTTTGTACTGCAAGCCTTCTGAATTTTATTTTGGCTCAGGTGAATATACTGCTATTCACAAACTGATAAAAATGTAAAACTCTGAAGCAAGACAAGGTCCCTTAATTAATTTCCCAGGCCGATATCACTGAGAATTAAGAGGAGCTCTTGTCATCTGCTCCACTGTAGTGACTCCCAGCCTGTCGGTGGTATGTACAGGTAACAGAACCTGGCATGCCCAGTGTGGTGGCACACACCTTTAGTCCCAACGCTCAACAGGCAGAGGCAGGCAGATCTCAGCCAAGGCCAGCCTGGTCTATAAAGAGAATTACAGGCCTGCCAGGACTATGCAGTGAGACCCTGTCTTAAGACAAAAAGCTAGGCATCGGTACCCCAATTCTGTCTGCACCAGGTACCTCTGTGGGCTAACAGAGACCCTGCATGTTTCTGGACTTCAGTTTCCATCATCCATACAACAGTACCTTTTCTGTTCAGACCTGTTACTGATCCTTCACTCCACCGAGCAAAATGCCAAAGCCAAAAAGTACCGGGAACAGGGCACACCAGGATCTTCAATTATCCACTCCCAAAGACCCTAAATTCAGACTATTACCTCCCCCAACAAAAGCCTGCTTGTACCACCACAGCAGTCTGCCAGTAATTATGCCCAATCACAAACCCAGAGCCCAGCAAGGCCTCAATTAGTCCACAAAGGGGCCTAAGGAAGGGTGTAAAGCCCACATATGACCTCTGCAGAGTCCTGATACCAAGTGATCCTGAGCAGAAGGCTGTTGGCTGTCTGCCCCCCCACCACTCTCAAGACCCTCTCCAGAAACCCACTTTCTGTTCTCTCACTGTCCGCAAATTCTCCCCAGCTCCCCACTTTCCAGGTCAAGGTGCACCATCTTCAAGCCTTACCATCTTCAAGCCTTCGCCTCGTTCTAGAACACGTGACCATCCCTGGACAAACGCTGGAGAGACATGCTCAGGCCAGGCCTAGAGAGGGCATCTTCTTTGTGGTATCCAGAAACAAAGGGGCCCCTGGCCTATTCTGCAAATGTCCTGAAAACACCATTAAGTTTCCAAACCCACGATCTGGCAGGTTTTCACGAAGTGGAATCCCCCTCGCACCGACTAGGAAGCCATGAGATGGGAGGGCTTGCTGAGAATGTAAGGAAGGGCTTGGTGTCCAAAAGCCGATTTAATACATTTCTACCAAAAAGTGCAGAATCTGAACTAGTATGTGCATCAGGTGAGTTTGGGGGGAGTAGTGCGGCAGAGAGGATTTGGAGTTGATGGAGAGAGGTGGACAGGGGTCAGTGTGAGTGTATCGGAGTTATGTAGATGCCTCAGATGTGGGTGTGAGGCTGGAGGTCGGTTGTTACGTGTGGAGTTGGATAGGGAGGGGAAAGCCCCACCGAAGCCCTCTTTCCAATGAGCTGCAGAGGCAGCTTGTGTCTAAGAGAGCTTCAGCCTCCTGGGTTCTTCTCTCCTGGCGCAGGAACGGGAAGCCGGGACTGTTCGGACTGATAAGAAAGGGGACCCGAGGAGCTGGCCGGGTGGCTGTGCGTCCGACCTGAATGGTGCTGGGAAAACGCAGCCTGCCTCGCACGACCGGCCGCAGTACTTCTGCGGCAGCTGCCGGAAGCCCAGCCCGGGAGAGAAACGTCTTCATCGGGGACCAGCGACTTGCTCACGCCTGCAGTCTAGATGTCGGAGCGCCAAGCCGACTTGCTGAGAAGCTGCTGCGTCCGCGGCTTCCTAGCACGGCGTTTGCAGGCATTTCTCTAGCGGCACAAGGAGCTGGATGGAGGTGTTGAAGGCTCCTATAAACCTCGGCCAGAGAAACATGGAGCTCCGGCTGGCTAAAGACCATGGCCGCTGGAGGTGGGCGCAGGCCGGAGGTCACTAAGTGGACGTCCAGCTTTGTCAGAATTAACCGGCGAAACGCGGTGGCCCACACAACCTCTGCAAACAGGCCTAGAGGAACAGAATTCCACTCTTGCCAGGACGTAGGGCCCTATCCAGCCTGCCTAAGGGGGTGGGATAGGAGTGGGAAGTAAATCAAAGTTCCCCCCCAACAGCTTCTGGGCGCTCCTGCTGCATCCACATCCCGCTGAACTGCGGTGCAAACAAGCTCCTTCTCCCGAGTCTCCTCCAACCCTTATAGCTCTGGCGGCTTACCGCCGGCCAGACGCGGCCCGGGAGGTGATCCCCACGGCGCCTGAAGTTCTGTTTCCCAGCCTTGTACACGCACGAGGTACCCTTTCTCCACCTGGGATTAGGGTGCTGATCCTGCAAAAGACAGCAAGAAATTAATTCCCAGGGATGAGTGACTCCTATTTCCACTCAAAAGCTCCCATAGAGACTGTCCTACACCCCCAACACACACACACACACACACACACACACACACACACACACACACACACACAGGGGCTCCTTAAAGACTGAAAAGGGAGCCGACAGAGGAATTTGGGGAAGTGATGACATACACAACAATGCTGTCACACCTGGCTGCTGAGGAGCTGAGCAGCGGAAATGGAGTCGTTTGGGAGGTGGGGGGAGAAGGACCCAGGGTCAGCTTGGGTGGTCAAAAAAAAAAAGAAAGGGGAAAAAAAGAAAAGAAAAGAATTAAAAGAAAAAAGGGAGTAGAGCGACCCCCACCAGAATGAGACCATAGCCAGATGTTTTGCCCCTGCCCAGACCAACCAAACTCATCACTCCTACCCATAGCTGGGCATGCCTGACGTTGAGGAAGAAGACAAGCACCTGTAGGCCTGCTCAGAAAACAGTCAGATTTTGAAGAAGTGCTGTTTGTCCCACATGTGCTCAGGGCAGCGACAGATAGCCTAGAAAAACACCCAAGCCATTTGGGAATATTTAAGGGCTGGAAGTAGGTATCTCCCAGGGAAATTAAGAGGATTCCAGCTCCCACTCACCCTGGTGGTTAGACCAGGTTTGCCCTGTTGACCTCTCTGGAGTCATCTTCAAGATACTGGATTCCAGACACACACACACACACACACACACACACACACACACACACACACACACACACACGCACTGTCCTTTCCCTTCATCTCAAAGTGGGGAGCATACAATGTAGATAGGTGGTCTTCGGATTCTGGAGCCACAGGCCACTGCGGGCTCTCGGGGTTCTGGAGAACTTTTGCAGATCAAACAGCGTGAGAGAAAGAAGTAAAAACAAGCACTGAGCTAGCCACCTAGACATGCCAATCACTGATACACCTTCAGGGCGTGCTTGCAGACTATCACTCTTCACAAAGTGTACGCGCCGCACCCAGGAGCCTGGAGATTTGAAACACTAGCTTCTCTCACACTTGAAGACTGCGGACTTGCGTTAAGGCTGAGTTAAAAGGCACACCTGATTTTGTGCTGGCGCATATTTCCTCTGATTCGTCTTCTGTTCTTGCGGGTGTAACTAGATATCCACCAGACTTCTGTTATCATCTCAAAACCTTTCGAGAAAGAAGATCAGAACCACTGTCCATCATGACAGAGATGCGAGCAAGCGTTTCCCCGGCCTGCTGCTTTTCTTTTGAGTCAGTAACAGAATGACCGACGCTGGGAGGGGAGGAGGTAGGTAAAGATTGTGGGGGTGGGAAAGGAAAAAGAAGAGGCTATATCCACGAACCGTGTTTAATCAGATGCTCGATCCACACACCTCACTAATGAGCAAATACAACTCCCAGACCTTGTACATGAGCATACCTGTGTTTCTGAACAGCACATTTTTCACTTGCGCAGTATTCCACTTATATCACAAATCGTCCCCCATGGGACACCTGTGCACACAACAGTCCTCAAAGTCCCTCAGGGACATCCTCGGCGGTATCCAAGCCGGAGTACAGGGCACACGACTTGGTCTTTAAAACACACACCCAATTCGTGGGATTGCAAGGCGAATTCCGAGGAGAAACCTGGTCCCTACATCCACCCCGCAGCACAGAGAAGCGAAGTGTCAATGCAAGCAGTACTCCCGGGTGCCTCTTCCTAGCGATCCTTTCCCCGGTCCCAATCTGGCCCAGAGAGCTTGAGGGACAAAGCAGGCCGAAGCTTCTGCTTTCCGTGACACGAGCTCTGGGCTGGTTTACCTCCAGCTGCCGAGAAGTTCTGCCACTCCACCCCGGGCCGGCCCCCTCGCCATCTCGCCCCTCCCTAAGCCTCAAGCTAGAAGTCTAGCCGCAGCACAGCCCCAAGCAGAAGCAAAGGAGTCGTTTTCTGTCACCTGAAAGCTGCCAGGAGGCTTGGATCACCCTTCCTCGCTGGAGACTGCTCCCGGGACACTGGCTGGGTGCAGCTAGCCCCCATCCGGGCCTTCTGCGAAGCAAGCACCGGCAGATTTCAAGGACTCGTGAGAACGTGAGCCCGGGGCTGTCGGCGGGCCCCCTAGACTCCCGAGGCCGGGGGCAGGCCGGTCCAAGCTGTGCCGGCCGTTTAAAAAAAGAGACTTAGAGATGAACTCGCCCGTGCGCTGCTGGCTGCCCCGCTATAGGGGCGAAGGCCCCTGACGCAAGCGGAACTCGGCGGAGCCCATACGAATCAGAACGGAGCAAGGCTCCTGGCGCACTAGGGACTCCAGGAGGCAGCTGCGCCAGAGACGCGGGTCGCGCCTCGGGAAACCGGGCGGTGGGGGGAGGGGAAAGCTCAACCAAGAAAACCCACCGAGGCGGGGACTGGCCTGGGCGGGGAGGGGCGGCGGGGCCGGAGCCCCTCGCTGTTGGGCAGACTCCCGATGGCCAGAGGCTGACTTCCACTCCCGCCGACCGCTCCCCGGGGGGGAAAGAGAAGAGAGCGAGAGCGGCGCGAGGCCTCCGGCCCCCGCAGCCTGCAGAAGTTGGAGGCTCGGCCGCAAGCGCACGCTCCTGCGTCCGCCTGCAAGGCGAGCCTGTGCCCGGAGAGCACAGCCCCGGGGCGGCCGGGCCAAGGAGCTCCGGATTTTTTTTTTTTTTTTTTTTTTTTTTTTGTCATGATGGCCAGCTACCCCGAGCCGGAGGACTCCGCGGGGGCCCTGCTGACCCCGGAGAGCGGGCGGACAGTCAAAGAGCCCGAGGCGCCTCCGACGAGTCCCGGCAAGGGCGGCGGGACAGCACCGGAGAAGCCGGACCCCGCGCAGAAGCCCCCGTACTCGTACGTGGCGCTCATCGCCATGGCGATCCGCGAGAGCGCCGAGAAGAGGCTCACCCTGTCGGGCATCTACCAGTACATCATCGCCAAGTTCCCGTTCTACGAGAAGAACAAGAAGGGTTGGCAGAATAGCATCCGCCACAACCTCAGCCTCAACGAGTGCTTCATCAAGGTGCCGCGCGAGGGCGGCGGCGAGCGCAAGGGCAACTACTGGACGCTCGACCCGGCCTGCGAGGACATGTTCGAGAAGGGCAACTACCGACGCCGCCGCCGCATGAAGCGGCCCTTCCGGCCGCCGCCCGCTCACTTCCAGCCGGGCAAGGGGCTCTTCGGGTCCGGAGGAGCGGCGGGTGGCTGCGGCGTGGCGGGCGCGGGGGCCGACGGCTACGGCTACCTGGCGCCGCCCAAGTACCTGCAGTCGGGGTTCCTCAACAACTCCTGGCCCCTGCCGCAGCCGCCCTCGCCCATGCCCTACGCCTCCTGCCAGATGGCGGCGGCCGCGGCAGCAGCTGCGGCGGCCGCGGCAGCCGCCGGTCCCGGCAGCCCCGGTGCAGCCGCGGTGGTCAAGGGGCTGGCGGGCCCCGCCGCCTCCTACGGGCCGTACTCGCGCGTGCAGAGCATGGCGCTGCCGCCGGGCGTCGTGAACTCCTACAACGGCCTGGGAGGCCCTCCCGCCGCGCCCCCGCCGCCGCCGCACCCCCACCCGCACCCTCACGCACATCATCTGCACGCGGCCGCCGCACCCCCGCCAGCTCCGCCACACCACGGGGCTGCCGCGCCGCCCCCGGGTCAGCTCAGCCCAGCCAGCCCGGCCACCGCCGCGCCCCCGGCACCCGCGCCCACGAGCGCGCCCGGCCTGCAGTTCGCCTGCGCCCGGCAACCCGAGCTCGCCATGATGCATTGCTCTTACTGGGACCACGACAGCAAGACGGGCGCGCTGCACTCGCGCCTGGATCTCTGAGAGCCACCGTGTGCGGGCGCGGCCCCCGGGGTGCAGGAGCGGAGCTCGGGTCGCAGCCGCAGGGTCGCAGCCTCAGCAGCCGGCCGGGACAGCGCACACTCTGGGACAGCCTCTTGAGCCAGAGCCCTCGAGCCTTCTGCGCCTCCTCGTTCGGCCCGGCTCCTGCGGCTCCGCTTTGTCGCCTCCGCTGCTCCTCCGGTGCTCTTCCCCACCGCGGCCTCTGCCTTCGCGCGCTCCGGGCCGGCGGCCGCCCCCCTCCGCGCTTTCCGCAGGCCTCTTCTCCTCCCGGCGTCCCAGAGTCACCGCAGGGAGTGTGTCCCCGGCCGAGGTGCGGCCGAAGTGTCCGGCGGCGCTGACTTCTTGACCTTCTCTTGCAGGTCGGTGGACTCACGCTTGACTTTCTCCCCCCACACCCTGACTGCCGAGCTGTCTGCGGCTAGAAGCGCTGGGCTGCTGGGGTCGCGGGACCCACGCTGCCGGAGGAAGGGAAGAACATGTCTGGTCGCTGCGCGATCCCGCCTGGAACTGATCAGAAGCCGCTCGCAAAGGGGCCCACTGGGCGGGGCGGGGGTTGAGCCCCAGGCTGGAGCAGGGACAGCCTCGTTCCGCGGCCTGTAATCGGGTTCACATCCCCGCGCCAAGCGAGGCCGCCGTGCCTCCGCTCTTCAGCGCACGGCTTCGAGCACCTCCAGGCCAGGGTGGCTGGCTAACGTCTTGCTAAAAAGATCGGTGAGGTTTTTAAAGATATTAAAAAATACTTTTCAAGGGGAAAAAAAAAGAGAGAGAGAAAAAAAACTTTCATCGGGAAAAACGGTGAAGTGTTAAGGCCTTCGAGTTTGCTGAAACCAAACAACAAAATCAAAAGCTTTTCTTTCTTCATCGTCCCTGCTGGGAGATTTGTGTAGAATTCCCGTAGTGATTTCAGAAAGCTGTGTTCAGAGCCGAGAGAAAATAACTAGCTAAAAGAAGGTTTTCACTACAAACCGGGAGTTTTCCTCTCTATTTTAAAAAATAAATTCAAAACAAATTTTCCCGGATCTTCCGATTCTAGCCTGGGATGCCAGGAGATCACTGCCTGGCTGGGCCACACTTCGGGGATGACACTCCCCTCCCTGATTTTTGTTTTTCAAATGTCTTGCTTCTTCCACCTTCGGAAGGAGAAATGTGAAACTGGCCAAGGCCGGCCCACACGGGCTTGTGGCCCCAGGCGGCTGGCCCGAAATTTCCGCGACCTGGTGGTTGAATAATGTCGTTCGGGGACCAAATTTTCTAGAGGGAACTAGAGCACTTTTGTTGTATTTGTATGTGTGTGCGCGCGTCCCTTGTCAATTCCCAAATAAATTCTTTGTTTTTTTTTTTCTTTTAACACGGACTTACATTGTTTCTTTTACGTGGTAGTTCAACAGCTAGCTAGCTAAAAGAGCGAGCCCTTCGGCAAAATTGTGTCCATTTAAAAAAGTGACACAAACAAGGGTTGAGAGCAACCAGGGTGGCAGTCGCTTTGGTCTGTCGCTACTGCTTTGTTTTTCTGGAGATTGTTTGTTTTTCCTGTGTCATCGCTCTGGTCTGTGGCGGCTGTTTAACAGCGGCAAAGATACCGGTCCTTCGCTGGAGGCTACTGGAGCCATGGCTTGTTCTATTCTTGGGCCCGTGTAAGTTTGTATTTTGCCTCTTACATAATTGTACTAGGTGTATGCACGGTGTTCTCATTATTATCCTCATACTTCTAAGGGTTCTTTCGAGTCAAATATATCACATTATATGAGGGGTTTTTTCCATATAAAATCCCGATTTCAGAAACACACTGCAAGCTGCAAGCTTTTCTACAAAGTACTAGCTGATTTGTTGTGCTGTTGTTTTTAACAATCGGCATTCATTGATTTTGAGATAAGGGTAGAAAACTTGGTGCTTTTCCTGAAGTTGAGTGCACTATATGCTACAGTGATGAACTTTTGTTTTTTTTTTTCTTTACTGAGCTCATCAAATAACGAATTAAGATCCACGCTTTCATTAAGATACAAAAGGTGTTTGATCTGGTTGCAGTCTAAATCTCTCTGACGCATTAGAGGAGGCTGGCTTTCAGTTTTCAGATGGAGTGACAGATACTGGATCTCTTATAGTCGTTGGGAGCTGATACAACAAGGACTAGATCCCATGCCCAGCCATACATCTTATGCCTCCCTTTCTCCCTCCTTTGCTAAGAGACAGGTCCAGAGAAGTAAGTTGGGAGCAGCAGTGAGCTTGAGGAATAAACTTAATAGGTCCTCATTTCCGCCAACCGAACATCTAATGTTGGGAATGTCAGGGTGGTATTTAGATTGTTATGTTGCTGGGACCAAGGGGAAGTCATTCCCACTCAAAATGCCCTCTCCTCCCACAAGTATCTCAGAAGGAGGATACAGGGTGGAAGAGGAGGTTCTGTGGATTCTCAAAGGTAGAGAATAAAGCCTGTCCAACCACCGGGGGCAGGCTGAAAGGAGAATCTCAGTGGCAGTGGGAAACAGGAGAGTCCCATCAGGCCGAGGGTGCTCCTGTAGCTCGACGTCTCAATTGTCTGATTAAGGGGGGGGTTCAGAAAAGACAGCAGCATGCTGTGTGTGCTCCTCCATGATTTCTGTTTCAAATATGTATCCTACGGATAGTGGTGTAGTCTGTGGCTGATAGAAATGTGTCTCTGGTGTCTGTTATTTAACAGTGGTAGGGTAGGAGGTGTGTCTATCATTCACCTGCAGAGAGGATGAATGACATATTCAGGACACTGTAATAACCATCTGACTAACATTAGAGAGTACTTACTGTTGCAGTCATACCTCATGCTGATGTAAGTAAGCAGTTGTGTTCTGGGTGTGTATTTCTGTCTCACTGAACGATAACAAAGTAATACACCCTTCGCTTCTTCTGGCAGAGGCTCCCTGTTCTGGGACTAGTTGTCAGCACCCCTTCAAACTGCTATCCAGAGCAGAAAACAGGGGGACAGCTTCTGAGGCAGGGCTCTTGGTAGCCAGGTCGTTGCCCACGTCCAGTGAAATGGAGACGCCAGCAGAGCCTGCACCGCAGAATCTCTCATTGCACCCAAGAACTAACCAGCAAGAGGCATCGCAGCTGGAAAGGCTTTGCCAAGTAAGGAAAATTAGATGAAGGAATTACTGAGGGTTTCCCAAGAGTTTACACCGTGGTTGGAGGAGGTAAGAGAAGGGAGCCACTTCCCCAGGGATGCCTCCAGAAAGACATCTGTCTCTAATTCCAGCCCTAAGGGGTTCTCCAAAGCGCTGAAAGTTGGTCGTTTTCCCTAGTTGGGGACAATAACAAACCTTGTTCATCTCAAATTTCCTTTCTCTCCTCTCTTTGCACTTTTGAATTTGTTAGAGAATCTGATTCAGATAACTTCCTAAGTGAGAGCAAAGGTATTTAAGAGAGTTCCTGACACAGAATGATTATTCCTTCACATATACAGTCTGACTTGGATAGCTAGCAGCCCATGTAGGTATGTGCATATATGTTTGTAGTGTGTGTGCTCTATAATGTGACATAGAGTTTGATGCTAATATCCTACCAATTTCTGAAGGTTCTGGGTAATGAGTTGTTAAACATGGTGAATGATGTGGTGTGTGTGTGTGGTGCGTGGTGGGGGTGTTGTGTGTCTAAACATTCCCAAATACTGACAGAATACAGCATTTTCTCACCTTTACATCCAGACTCTTACAGTTATCTTTCCTTTCCCTAAAAGCCTAAAGTAAGTGGGTTGGTGGAGGGATATCCAGCTCTCTTATGGGACTAAGTTGTCATCAGCATAGTTCCACATTCCGTTCCAGTGGAGGGGTATTTGCTCTTGGGTATCAGTAGAGAGTTTTCAGCTCTATACCCTGCTTGGAGGCATCCAGACTTTGTACTGTCTTCTGCAAGCCAAGATTGAAAAATCAGCCATGTAGAGCCCCCTAGTGGTGGGTAGAAACTGGGGGCAAATCCAGGCTTCATTGGAAAGCACTTTGGTGAAGACTTGGAGCTTGCCAACTGCTGACTGAAAATCTTGCCCTCCCCACAAAGGGGTCCCAAGACCAGAAAGTGATTTGGTCGAGCTCAAGATTCCCAAAGTGTCCCCACTTTATTTAAATAACAATTAACTATACCCTGTGGGCTGTGGCACCACTGTATGACAGCCAGCCGGCTCAGAGTAGCCCATGGAACCTGAAGGAAGGGCTGAAATCAGGAGCCAGAAGCTCTCTGTCATAGGATAGGATGTCCCTACCAGGGGCAAGCAGCTGACAGGGGCAGTGTTTATGCCCCACCTTCTCCCCTGATGATTCTTTAAACCAAGTGGGTCAGTGACTATGTGCTTTCTGGACAAAGAGGGCTCCAAGCTGCACCAGAGGAGTGTCTAGGTCCCAGGAACCAAGCTCACACTATTGAGTACTTGAAGATCTGACCACAGAAGTGATCAGCTGCAGGTCACTAGCCCCAGAAATCCTCAGAGGAGACCCGAGAACAGGTGACATGAGCTGCCACCTGGCTCTGTGGGTCACTCAGCTATGAGACAAAGCACAGCCCTGAGCGTGAACTTGGGCAGGGCGTTCAGCAGGAACTGGTTTGTGGCCCAGGTTCTGGCTTGAAATGAAGTCTTGAAGTTTGTTCTGAGTCCATGTTACCCCAGAGAGGTGGTTCATGCAGGATGAGACACGGACAGGAGCCTGTACACTGGGAAGACCTGGCATGGGAACCAGGTGTCTTGCTTTAATGACTATACCCTTGGCAAAATGTTGATTTCAGATTTCAGTTTTCTCATCTATAGAACAGTGATCTACCAGAGTGATTACAATAGTTAAATATTCTGATTCAAAATCCCTAGTTTATTGTTGAGTAAGTTTCCAGTTCATGGAAGAAGGGAGAAAGAGAAGGGTCAAGCCTTTAGTAATAACTCCAGAGGGGACCACCCAGACAAGCCAGCACCCACCAGGGTCCAGGCACAGCTAATGGTATCTGTCTTGCCCAGTCCATTGACATCAGGAATGAGGCACCAATGGCACTGGACACTTGACCCCTAAGGGCACAGGTGATGAAGTCTTGGACTTACCTGGAAACCTCCCTATTGCTTCTTTCAAGGCCATTTTCT